AGCCCATATTTAATAAAGTATCAGCACTTAAAGATTGGCAACATTTGATGATGTCTTTAGATGATTGCCACTATAGTGATTTTTCTTTTAACAAATTCGGAAATGATCATCATTTGCGCACATTTAATTTTAACAAAATAAATTTTTATTTATGGTTCTGAACAATAAACATCCACTAACATGCTGACGAATTTTGAATACAAGTCTTCTTTCTTTTTTCTGCTAACAATAACCAAATAGAGTTTATAAATTTTTCTTCTGATATTGGAAATGAACAAACCTTACGTTTTGATAATCAATTCATCGATAATAATAATTCGTTAGGAAGACATAACACTATTATCTCTACTACTGCCACTACAGCTACAAATCCATTCTTAAACACACAAAATCCATTGGTTTTACAACAACAACATCATTCTCCTATTATTAATCAACAACAATTAATTTTAAATCATATCTCTGTAACTCCGTCATCATTATCACCTGCTACATCTGATACAAATCCATTCCGTGCTTCAATGTTGTTTCAGGATCAACAACCAATACAACAGCAAACAACAGCAACAAATTTTTCACCTCATAACCCTTTTGGACAACTTTCTCCTACTTCTTATTCCACGCTTACTTCTAATACTAATGATAATATAATTACTGGTATTAATAATAGCAATCCATTTGCTTCATTAGCGCACCAACAAAATTTACTAGTTTCACCTAATATCCATCAACCATCAACATCATTATCATTAATGTCACCATCATCAACATTCCCATCATTATTGTTATCATCACATTCATCAGATAATAATCCATTTAGAAAATCAATTTTTTCTCAAAATGACAAAGCAACAACACCAACAAATTTTAACATAAATTCTTTAAACACATCATCGTCACCTGATCCTCAATTTTCTTCAAATCATCAACTCTTACTTTAATCAATCAAATTAATTGATTGATGAAATGACAATAAAGTAAAATTTTTATATTATTTATATTATTTATATTAATAACATCTATTTATTAATCTAATAAATAATCTAATGAATATCATTTTTTACATTAAAAAATAAACATTAAATAATGTATAGACAAAATCAATAAAATTAGATTATATTAAAAAAATATTTTATATAAAATATTTATATAGTAAAAAATAAATAAAAATAAAAATAGTAATGGACAAAAAATCTAAATGTTGCGTTATTTGTTAATTAATTAACAATAATTTATAAACTCTCAAAATAACCCACGACTCAATTCAATACCTTCCATTTGTTATTCTGATTCCATCATCCATTCATCAACCTAAAAATAAAATAAATAAATAATAATAATAATAATAATAATAATATTAATAATAAATATCTTAAATAATCCTATACAGTTTAATATATATTATATACAAAATGAACAAATTTATAGATTAACTATAATTGTTGTTATTCTAAAACCATAAACAAATTAAAAAAAAAATAAAGAATTAATTAATTCATTCATAATAAAAATACATATGTATAAATATAAATATATATTATAACTACTTCACCACCATTAATAAATTAGCCAATTAAAGTGACAAAAAATCATTTAAATCAATTCTTTATCTTCAAGTTAACTTCTACTTATCAACCAATCACAATCTACATTCTAAATTATTTTAATAATTTCTGGAGTTTGCAGTTATAACTTGATCAACAATAGCCTTCAATTTTGGTGGTTGATTTTCTGATCTTTGTCTTGAATGTAAAATACCATTTATATTATTATTATTATATTCCATCTCATTTAAAATAGTTAGCCAAGAAGATCCACCCTCTTTACGTAACTCTTCAATCTTCTTTCTATACTCTATTGCTTCACCGATTGTAGGTGATGAAATGGTTTCTGAATCACTATGTGGTGATGATAATGGTGATGTTGGTGTTTTTTTTGTTGATGAAAAATCTGGCGTGGTATTTTGACGTTTATTCACTGATCTTCTTTTATGTGATTTGGAGTTATCAGCTGCTATTGCCTTTTCAATTTCAACAGCTCGATGTTTTGGTAATGGTACTTTAGCTTTTGCTGTAATCTCCTCGGAGGTTTTTTTCTTTTTCTTATTTTTGTTTGATTTTGTTCTACTTAAGATAGGCGAATCAAACAAAACTTCTGCAACCTCACTATTATCACTATTCTTATTTTGGTTATCTCCATCCAAGTCAACAACTCTTTTATGAAATTTCTGACTTTTTTTATGTCTTATAACTGGCAAATTATTATTGCGTTGCTGATGTTGTTCATCATTTGAACTATTGGGACTGGACAGAGGATTTTCATTGCTTAGAATGGCAAAAGGGAATTTTTGATTTGATGGTGAATTTGCATTTGATGGGAGAGATCTTCTTTCAATATAAGTAGGTGCTGTTCCATCCAAAATAATATCTTTATTGTTTTCTTTAAATGCTTTAAAAATATTAATCCTGTAATTAGTCTCATATCTTGTGAATGGATTACCATCAACGTAAATTTGCTTCATCTCAGGCAGTTCAGTCATTCGAGTAGCTTCAGCCCAATCGGTCAATTGATTTTCTCTAACGTCAACATATTCCAGTGAATATAATCTTTCCAAACCACACAAATTCTCTATTCTATTGTTTCTCAGATCCAATTTCGTCACATTTCCAAGTATTTTGTAAATACCTGTTATTGTTTCAATCATGTTATTACTAAGATTCAAATATTGTAAATTATACAGCTGTGACAATCCAGATGGAATTGCAATCAGCAGATTGTTTGATAGATCAATATGTGTACATTTTGCAATGTAGATAAGTGGTTCATTGGGAATAAACGTCAGTGCATTATCTGATAAATTAACTTGTCGAAGATTTTTCCAAATTTTCAATGGTGCAACTACATCATCATCATAATCATTGTTTTTTTTTTTAATGACAGTTTTACGATTAATAGTAATTTCTTTATCATCATCGCCGTTTTCTTCAGCGCTACCATTACCACCATCGTCTTCTTCTTCTTCTTCTTCTTCTTCTTCTTCTGATGCTGATGTTGCTTTTATCTTTTTGGTTCTTTTTTTATACCCATCAGCTACAAGATCAATAAATAATTCAGTAATATCATCAATTGAACTTTTAGTTAAAGTTAAAATTTCCAATTTCTCTTGTAGAATATCCCAACCATCAAAAGCTTTTGGCGACAATCCATTAATTTCTAAATATTTCAAATTTTTAAACAGGGTCATTGACAATATACCACCTAAAGGCCAATTAATGCCATCAACATTATCAACACTAACGCCAACATTGCCGTCATTATTGTCATTATTATTATTAGTACCAAAACCTTCAATTCCTTTATTGTTGATTGTTGAACAAAGTTTTAAACTGGTGAGTTTAGTGAAACTTTTGTAGACGTAGTAAACCTCGTTTTTAATTGGTATATTCTCGTGTTTTTGAGCTGCATTAGACCAACCTTGCCAACCCGAGATTAAAGATAATGAAGACATATTTCTGGTCAGCGTACGATTCTGGCACTAGATGTTGCCTATACGTCGAAGAACACTTATCGGTATCGGTTACTTGATCATTGTCAACAATTGACCTTCAAAGGTCAGCCATTTACACCTACGTGTGTTGCAGAAGTCATAGTTGTTCAAGAAGGATATCAAGAATTCAATGTCTTAGATCGGAGGTTTACTTTGCAACGGGCTTGTCGGTTCAACTTGATCGGTAGTAGATCCGCAAACTAAGCAGATATATATTTACAGATGGGGGGCTAATAAGGTTGTTTATCAAACTTCACATGGCTGGAATAATGCAAATGGTGTAATATTTTTCCGGAATCCACAGAAAATTGATGATACAATTTCACAAGTTTTATTACTTTCTATGTTATAATTTTTTTTATTATTCATTACTTTTTATATTTTTTATATTCATTGCTTTTTGTTATAAGTTCATGCATTTCATTATTAGGCATCCTCAGAGTCATCATCATTAGAAAGTGATGAAACAATCAATTGTCCTAAATGTTGAAACACTATGAAGATAATACACATAAATGGCATTTGTATTTATCTTATTATAAAATATAGCAAATTTTTAATAATACGCATAGAGTTGTAGAAAATTTTATCTTGTATGAACGGGCGTGAATACATGTTCACACTAACAGTAGTATATTTCTTGGCTTAATTAGTACATTAAGAGCCTTTTGCAAATTAACAAAACGTATTGGGCCTTATGATCAAGCCTCATATATGCATCTCTGAGATAAAATTGCAAATAATATGTATGATCTCTGAATCTTCATTATCTTCTTTCTCTTGACATCATCCTTTTTATTCTTTTTTTGATAATGAAAATACTATAAAAAGCGTACATGATATAAAAATGGGCAAGTTAAAAAAAAAGTTACTAATATTAACGAGGCAAATTTGTTATATAAACCTTGGATAGACCTGATAATATAAAAATCATGAGACCTCGATTAGAAGTTTCCGAGTCCATCACCATTATATGCTTTACGTACTTATTTTCAAAAATCGATTTTTAGATTATAGCTCCTTCCCTATATATGATATATCCAGGAGCCTCAGGGCGAGGTTAATCACTACATGAATAGTACGTTTATGGACATTTCTGTTTATTTTATTTTTTAAATTTAAAGAATACAGTTTAAAAAAAAGTTTCTCTAAAACATTTAAATATTTAAAATCTAATAAAAATAAAGATAAAAAACTATACAAAATAATTATCTATAACAATAATACAATTAATTTACCAACATATAAATATACTATAGAATACATTATTAACTTTCACTTTCCATTAAATTTTGTTCACATTTAGAATATGCAACACCTTTTTGCCCAGGTGATACTAAAATCTTTAATGGCATACAAGAACACACAGGAACATGTTCTTCAGTAACTACACGTATCACATCAATTCCACCTGTTAATACTGCAACCCTTAGAAATTTGGCATGAACTAATTCATCAGCAAACTTTAAACAAAGAAATATATGAAAATGCGAATAATTTGAAAAAACAAATTTTTATTTAATAATAATAGAACTAACCCGAGGACCAGATTCGCCCCTATTTGCCAAAACCACATGATATTTCTTTTTCTCTTGAAATAGTGCATCTGTAACTTGGTCAAGATATGATGTATTAAAATTTACTGATAATGGAAAATGACCCCCTACAAAGCTATCAAAATACATAAATAGTTATCAACATTAAATATTAATGATAAGATATATAAATATGATATTTATTAAACATTACTCTTGCTCAGATCTTATATCAATGACCAAAACATGATTTTTTAATTTAGCCAAATCTTTTAATGATATCCTAGGAGCCAATTCAGTTTTCTTCACATCAACAGGTATAGGTTGTTCCCACCAACGTTGCGTTGGGTAATCCTCCTTTTAATTGTCGAAAATAGCGATAACAGCAAAATAATGATGTTATTAATTATTTTTTTTATTGTTGCTGCTGTTATTATTATATTTTTATTACTTACATCGTCATTTAATGTACCAATTGTTGCATTTGGTTTATGTACTTGATAGATTACAGAGGGTGGTGTAACTTTACACATCGAAAGAGCTGATTGAATGCATTTTTCTATGTCAACGTCCGGAAATGTTTCGGCAAATTGTAGGCATTCATTAAAATCAGATTTAAGCAAATCATCTCGAAGTTGTCGTACTATGGAGATACCAGCAAACAATGATAATGAAGGAGGCCCAACAAGTAATTTATCCCAAAGATGATATGTTTTTTCTAATGGTAAAACATCTAATATATAATATTCGAAGGAGGGTTGAAAATTTTTAATAGAATGAAGAAAATAATATAAAATCATAATAGTGGAAATATATATTACGTGTAAATAAAGTTAAGAACCAAGGAATAGCATATAAATCCGGAATATAACCTGTTTCTCTTAGATGACTAGATAATTCTGGGTCATGGAATGATAAAAGATGACCAAAAACAGCCAAATATTCTTTTATTATATGAGAATTGTCAACTAAGAAAAAATCTTTTAAAAATTTAGGAATAAATCTATTCAGACAACAGAATGCCAATGCCTCATCATTAAAATTTAAAGTCAAAAATGGTGCACAGAGTGAATCCATTCCTATCAAACAATTGTTTATTAAACAATGAATTAGAGTTGACAATAATAATAATTATTAGTATTAAAAATATGTGTTTACCTTGCCAATATACTAATTTACTATTAGCAGTGATAAAACATTTTAAGAGTCTTCTAAGTTTTTCATGTCCAATAGGAGATGACAATAGTTGGTGATATTGATGACACCTTGGAACATCTAATGTTTGCAAAAAAATAAATAAAATAAATAAATCTCTTCGCATACGACCAACATAAATAGGTTTATAAATAATATTTTTTATATTACCAACATCAATCTATTAAAATGATGATGATAATGATAATTTATTAGTTGTTTATATATAAATATTGAAAAATTTCCTAGAAAAATATTTTTTCATACCTGATGATCTCTTTCAGTTTCTTTATCATAAGCATCATATAAAGCCTGATAATCGCCACGGATTCCTAAAATGGCAGCCCAAACTTTTCCACGTAAAAATGGCGGTATATCAACTTTTGCATGATGAATAATTTCATTACGTGAACTAGGATATTCTTTTAATAGTTCACTAAACAAAGCAACTCTTTGAAACTGATAACCAACATCTTTTTCACGAACAAGTAATGGCGTTTTAACATTTTGTGTGGATTGTAAAATATGACAACCATTTGTTGATGGTGTTGATGAATAGTTGTAATTATTTGGATCTTGATAAAGATATTTTCCCATAATTAAATCATCATCGTCGTCGTCGTCGTCGTCATATTTATCTTTATCATCATCTGAATTTGTAGTTGATTCATTGTTTGAATGTGTTTTTGTTGTTATTGATGACTCATCAACTAAAAAATTCATATCATCATCTAGAAAATAATCCTGTTCTTGATCTTGTTCAGGAGTGTCTCTATTAAGACCTGTGGCATTTTCCAATCGTTGACGAAGTTCTTTTAATGATAAAGTATAAATTGTGTCAGAATATAAAAAAGCTGTGTCTTTTTTTGTGCCCTCCTCTTTTCCATCTTCTACTTTAACAGTTCTTGGTAATCTTTCAATTGGCGGAGTACTAAGCAGGTAACCTCTTTTTTCTAACTCTGATTCAACGTCACCTCCAGCTAATTTCCAAAAATAATAAATTTGTGACAGAGGTATCCCATGTAGAACATCTTTTTTTGGAGTTTCTTCAATATATTTAAATAAATCCTTTTCATCAAATTCAATTTGTTGTGATTGCAAAAATGGTTTCAGCCACCAATATTTGTACTGCTTACTCCCACCTTTTTCATAAATATGGATTTTTTTGAAAAATGGATGAGACAATAATTGTTCTGGTAAGAGTCGATCTGAAACTTTTACTTGAAGACAACAACGTAAAAAGTTTCTAAATTCAATAATATCTGTATCTGTTCCATCTGTTGCTTGTAAAAATTCTAAAATTGAATCATTTATTCCTAATTCGAAAACATTAAAACTATCCCAAGCTTCGCCATTACCGACACCACCACTATCATTATCTTTTTTATACGCAATGGAATGAAGATCCCATAATGATGAAAATAATTTATCAATATCTTTGGTATCTTCCCAAAAAGACTTTGCAAAAAACAATTCTGCTAATATTATGCCCAATGACCATACATCCACCTATTATTTAACAGGTATGTTAAGATTATTATGGAATCATTAATCAGAAAAAAAAATTAATTTCATAATCTAATCACCTTCCCTGTTGCATAGGTCATTTCGGAGGAATGATAAATTGCTTCAGGAGGAATGTATTGTGGATAACTTTGTAAAAAAAAAAAATTTTTAATATTCTTTTTCTTGTAATTAATCAATTAATTAAATTTAATAATTACCTACCCAATTGGAAATTCCACATCAGCTCCGCCATTAGTCATATAATAAAATCCATAATCTGCCAATTTTATATTTCCCTGGTAATAAAAATTTTATAAAATAAATTTCTAAATCATAATCTATACAGTAATAAATAAATAAATAGTATATATATATATATATTACTTCATCATCTAATAAGATATTATGAGGTGAAATATTATGATGCGTTATTTTATTTTTGTTTAGATAAGCAAGAGCTTTCAATATTTGAAATGCCCATTCACGTAGCCTATCAATTTTTATACTATAAGGAAATCAAATTAATTAAAATATGTTTATTATTTGATTAATAAATTAGCCAAATATATAATTATTCATTAACCTTGAAATCTGTATAATTTCTTCTTTTTCATTACGTTGATAAAACTTTTCAAGATTATTTGTATGATATTCAAATATTACAAATAATCGATCTATATAAAATATATTTAACGTCTAATTAATTCCTAAGATAGATTATCCGTATTTATATAATCATAACGATCAAATTTACCATGTTTTCCCTTTACAATTTCAACATATTCACAAAGGCTTGGATGTAAAAGTGTCTATAAATCATTTTAAAAAAATGAAATAAATAAACTAAATCTACAAAGCAAAATTTATAATTCGCCCATGATAAATAATTATTATGAGCATTCGTTGCATGGGTTCTGACCTTTAAGAATTGAAAGCGGCCAAAAATTTCCGTTGTGGCAGGTGCAGGTGCAACATCACGATCTTCAATACCAGCAACAGCAAAAAAACTATTTACACCTAAATGTACATCTTGTTGACAACTAGTAGCAAGATCTTTGTCAGTTGCGAATGTCGCCATAAATTTAAATTTTTAAAAAATGAATGATGATGGATGATGATCTTTGGATATCGTATTTATGTAAATCCTGATCAAAATTTTTATAATTTATAAAAAAGAAAATGTTTAAAAAAATTATGGTATCTATTTTTCAAATAAATATTTTTTTAGTTGTTATTTATAATATTAATAATAATAAAACAACATTAGTTTATAGGCTTGGGAAATCATAAACATGTAAGAACTAGGAGCAGTGTTGGAATACAAGTAGTAAATTATGTTGCTGAATTAAATAATTTAACATGGCATAAGAACAACAATTTTCCTGGTGAATTTGCAAGATTAAATATTTATGTTGATCCTAAACCACCTTCAAGGCTTACTTTGAATAAATCCAATTCTAAGAAAAGTGAAAGTAAAGAAAATGATTATTTGATACAAAAGCCTGATCAAAAATTGAATGAAATAAGGTCCTTTTTTAAAGATAGAAGAAAATCAATATCATCATCAACAAGAACAATTTCAACAAGAACATTAATTGATAATAAAGAAAATTCACCAACATTGGATGTTATTAATTATATTCCAATAGAAATTGTGTTATTCAAACCTTTATTGTTAATGCATATTTCTGGTGAATGTATAGCCAGAGCTGGTATTTATTTGGGCAGTTTTCTGATTTAGTTTATTTACTTTTTTATTTAATCTAATATATAAGAAATTTTGTTAGTAAAACATTTTGAGATGTCTCCATCAAATATAGTAGTAATTCATGATGACATAGAACGTGAAATTGGGAAAATTAGTTTAAAGTTAAGTGGAAGTTCAAGGTAAATTAGAAAGAGAGAACTTATTAACCTCTTAAGTCTTCAATATACTAATAAAAATTTATTCCATCAGTGGACATAGTGGACTTAAATCAGTTATTGGATGTCTTGACACTGAAGTAAATTTTTTTGTTTTATCAAAACTTTTTCTATCCAATTTGAATTTTAAGTTAAAAAAAATTTTCTTTATTATGAAAAACCAATAGAAGTTTTGTAGATTAAGGGTAGGTATAGGCAGACCGAAAACATATTATGACAGAGATACAATAGATAGACCTAAAACATATCATGATAGAGATACAGCATATAGGCCTAATACATATAATGACAGATATGCAGCATATAGACCTAATACATATAATGACAGAGATGCAATAAATAGACCTAAAACATATCACGACAGAGATACAACATATAAACCTAAAACATATAATGACAGAGATGCAATAATTTTACAAAAATATGTTATAGGAACACCAATGCTTGAGGAATCAAATTATTTCAAAGAAGAAGTATTTCCAAAATGTCATGATGCATTAATTGAATGTTGCATAGATGATGATATATTACAAAAAAATGTATTGTGGAATTGACAGGGTGGTGGCAATATAGTCATGATACAGAGGCATATGTAGGACTTTTCAATAGAAAAAGACCATACTCTAAAATTAATTTTTGAGAACCTTTTAAGAAAATATTATTATGAAAAGTGGGCATGATTTCTAAGTCGAAAATGTTCTATATCAAGGATTACACCTAATGATGATCTCAAATCAAATTGCAATTTTGAAATAAAAATTACTATTATTATATTAACATCTAAAAGTAAATTTACATTTATAACATTTCTATACTAATTATGTTAATTACAATTGAATTCTTTAAAATAAATTATGCTATAAAATTTTTTTATTTCAAAATCTACATAGATATATGAATAAAATTTCTAGTAAATACTTATGATATATATTATGAAGTATCTATTATTATTAAACTCAATAAATTTCATCTATAAATTTTATATTATTTTTTATACAATAAATATTATATATCTAATATATCTATCACTAATGATAATTCAAAAATTCTAAAGATTTCCTCAAATTATAATTATAAATAATACATTAATTTTATATTTATACATGTTATTATTATTATAAAAAAAAAATACTAATATTTTTATAAAAAAAAATACTAATTTAGTTAAGAATAAAATTGATTAAAATCATAATTATAAACAGTTACAATGCAATAGTTATAATGGTGATTGGTAGGTTTATGGTGATGGATTCGATGATTGGTAGCAGCAGGCTTTTCCTAAAAATTTCCTTTGATTTTTAAATAAAATAAAATAAATAATACTTTTTAATAAATAAACTTTTTTTGTAATTAATTGAAATAGTGAAAATAAACCTTTTTATTTACAATTAATGATGATTATGATTTTTTTTTTGATAATAATTAAAAGGAAATTATATACTAAACTATTACTATTCTAAAATAATAAGTGACTGGATTATTTACAAATGTTATATGTACATGATATGAATATGATTGATGTTGACATAAGTATATCGTGTAAAATGAAATAAAAACTTTACAAGGTGTTAAGCTCCTGATATAATTAAACCCTAGCTAGTATAATTATAAATCACTAACCTATTGGTTATTGTTACGATAATGATGAATAGTATAGTATTAGTATTAAAAGTGCGATATATCAAACTATATGTGTATTAAAAAAAATATATTAAAAATATGGTCATGATAAGAGAAATCACAACTTCCTCAATAAAACCATTAAAAATTTATTTGAAGGAATAAAGTAATTTGACCCACCTCTTTGTTTAGTAACCCTTTGCACCTCTAATTTCTCCTCTAAATCTTGTTTTTGTCTATAATACAATATTATTTCCTGGTCCTTCTTTGATAGCTGTTCTTTAAGATCTTTAATTGTCTTTGTATTTACACGGTAATGATTTTTCAATTCATCTATAGTCTTATTTTTCTTTGACATATCCAATGACAATGCTTGTAACAATCTCTTATCATCATCGACAATTTTACTTAATTTTGACTTTTCAAGTGCTAATCCTTGGATCTCAGTGCTTCTTTCACTTATTGATGCGTCTCTAATTGTCAATTCAGATGACAATTCCTTGATTTTTGTGTCTCTTTTCTCAACAACGTTATTTTTCTTTGCCACCTCTGATGATAATTCCTGAATTGTCATATTCTTTACCTCAATCTTTGATGATAATTCTTTGATCTTTAAATTATTCTCATCAATTAATTTCTTATCGTCTTCAATAATCTTTGATAATTCCTGAATCTTAGAATCCTTCTCTTTAATAAGCTTCTTGTCCTCCTCGACAATTATTTCTAATTCTTCTACCAAGTTACGATACGACATCAATTCATCATCTTTGTCTTTTAGTTTTTCATCAAGTTCTGTCAATGTCAATTGTAAGTCTGAGTTGTTAGCATTCTTTGATGTTTCTAACTGTCTTTTCAAACCTTCGATTAGTTTATTTTTTTCAGAAATCTCAGAGGTTAACGAATCAATCTTTGAATTTTTTTCTTCAATTAACATTTCAAACTCATCAATCCTTGAATCAATTGCCTGAATATATTAATTATGGTAATTATGATTAATTAATTAAATGCCTAAAAAATCATATATATATATATATATAACCTGCTTACTGGAACTACAACAGAATCACTAGATGGTTTTCGTGATGATGAAGGAGCAAATGAAGTACTATTTAAAATCAAACTTGTTAGGTCATCTATTCTCTTCTTTAACGCAGTTCTAACAAGCTCCATCTCCACAAACTTTTCTTCGTACTATGTTTATTAAAAAAATAAAGAAAAAATTTAGAGTGAATTTATATATAAATTACAAATATACATTATAAATAACATTACTTTAGCTCTTTCTTGTTGCAACATCACAGAAATTTCCTCTTCTTTATAAGTACCAGTTTTTTCAAGTTGTGCCTTTAATTCTTCAATTTCCATACGATATTTCTTAATTAAGGCTTTATCATCAATGAGCTATTTTGTTTATAGTGTATGTATTAATTATTAAATTATTAATTATTGCAATAAATAAATATATCCATGAATAATAATAATAATTACTGTATTAGTTTGGGCCTTAGTAACAACTTCTTTGACACGAGAGGCAAATTTAAGAGTATTAACTGATTCATCTATATTCTCGGAAGATGGAGAAATTGTACAAATGACAGAAATTCTTGCGTTCCCAATAAGAGAATTTTGAAGAATTCTTGTTAATTTTGAATCTCTAAAAGGTATGTGTCCACTACAAATATAATTATAATAATTATAAGAGATTTTCTTTAATAAATTTGAAAAAGTATTAAATTTATTAAATTTTTATTTACCCAGAGCCATCGGTCAATTTTGATATAACATTACCAAGGGTCAGTAAACTAAATATCAACATCAATATTATTTGTAATGTAGCAATGTTAATATTATTATCACAGTGGTAACAGTTTTAGTATAAAATATGTTACCTTTTATTTATAAAAGCTCCCTCTTTTCTTCTTTCAACATCACTTGCTGCCTTTTCTGACCCAGCCAAGTCAATTAAATTCTTTTATTCATTTATTATATTACAAATAGAATATATATATTTATATATTTATGTATAATTTTTATTATTATTAATAAAATAATTAAATATAGATATAAATATAAATATATATATATATATAAAATACATATAAAGACATACCAATACAGAAACAGAAACAGACCCTGATGCCTTATGTGAGGATGATGGTGAAAATCGGCGCGGTGTAGAATCTTTTGAAGAACTTTCCACCACCATTCTGAATAGCGTGTGTGAACGGCTGCTTCTTTCGTTCCAATTTGTTGAACCTGTATGACGATTTAATTCGCCCCGCGAAATCTCCTTCATGACTTCTGAAGGTTTTGTGACTACAACCTCTGAGAGACTAGGAATATGAATGCCATGCTAACCACAAATATAAATAAATCAAAAAAATTTTTTTTTTAATTAATAATAGACAATGATAAATGACAATATAAATGACAACAATGCTAACAAGTTTGTCCTCATGAATTTTAAGATCCTTATTAACAGGGGCAAGTAAATCATTTATTTTTTCGTTGTATATTTCCATATATGATACTCTGAGTAGAAATTCTTTTTCATTGCGCTATAAATTATTTTAATAAATTAGGAAATATTTCTTTATAATTCAAAATTAAATAAATTAATTAATAATATTTGCTTACATTTCTGATATATGAAAAAACGGTATCTACGGCTTGCTTAATCACGCCAGGTTGACTCTTGTTACCTTTTCCGAAATGATTATATAATAAGAGAACATAATTAATAGATTATTTATCATATATTAATTCATATAAATGCATATACATATATGTATATTAAAATCGATCAATCGATCAATCTAATGTAAATTAAGTATTTACCCGTCTATAATAGTCATGTTAGATATACAACAAAATTTTGAAAATCAAATTAATAACGTTAATACATATGAACGAAGAAATAGAATCTAAAGCTCAACAACACACACATACCATTGTCTAAATGAAAAATAAAGAATGGATAGAAATTAGAATATATACTATTGTTTATAAATATATAAATTTTGATAGTTTTAATAATTATATTATTAACTGATTATTATTCACTTACGAAAGTTTTGCCAGATGATGTTTGTCCATATGCAAAAACTGTACCTATAGATCAAATTACATTATATTGTATAGATTTTATATATATGTAGATTATATTTAACATTTCATGAACACATATTTATATGGTTACACATACCATTGAAACCTTCCATGGTAGCTCTTTTGAAATTATAATAGTAATGATGTTAATGTTATTTATAATTAATAAGAATGGCCAGCGCATCAAACCAGAGTTTACTTACTTGATTGTATCTTTAACTCCACGGTCAAATAAAGCTATATTATCGCTACCAGTAAAAATTTCATCTAATGCGACAATATAAAATAACGAATTTATATTATATTAATCTTCATTTCCGATTATATGATTATAATGATTTTGCGCAATATACATACCATAAAAAAACTCGCTTAATTGTTTTCGATTCTTTTCAGCAAAATTCCGTTCTAATGATAATCTGTGTTCATTGGAATCGACGTCCCAGATATTATAATCAGTTCTGGCGAGCTCAGTTTCATTTGGAGGTCGTAATCGAACAGTAACTTTAACGTTTTCTCGAGCAGTTGCTGTCGGTGCCATTATTATTAATATTATATTTATTAAATGAGAAGAGGCTTGTAATTATGGAATTTTAAATGTAATTTATTGTAATTTGATAATTTTTTAAAAATTTAAAAATTGTAAAAATCTTTTTTATGCTATTTTGTTTGATTATGATAAAGAATTTTTTGGGTAACAAATATGATAGATATACTGAAATGTACAAGAATATCCTGTTTACAATTAATTAATATATTTACTTCATTTGGGGATATGGTTTATTTACTATAACAATGAAAAGTTTTTTTTTTTTGGGAAAATTTTTAATTTAAAAAAAAAACTTTAATATGAAAGTTTGTGTGGTATAACTAAAAATAGGATATTTTTTATTCAGTCAATGAAGATTATTCATTAAATGAGAATTTTTAAGCCCAATTTATATGGCTAAAGACCTCCTATTGCTGCGCCACGCTATTTCGTGATTCGTTCAAATTTTAAAAAATGAGTCTTCACGTGATTTTGGGTTTAAAATTATTTTTTACTGCCAAATTTAGTAATGACATTAGCGTTCGAAATTCCTCGTGAAAATAGTAACATGTGTGTGAAATGAATTTGCAATTCACGTCGTGAAATTCAAATTAGCCAATCAGAATTTCATATCCAAACACCTCACCCCAAAATTTTAATATATTTCACAATATATAACAACATAGTAAAATGCATGAAAATACTAAAAAAAGAATAGAACCCTAACAAATATTTTTTTTGAGAAAATCTCGCTATTACATTAAAACTAAAGACAAACTCTACGGTGCAGATCATCTATAATCATTAATTGCTTATAGTAACAATTGGTCAACTTCAAAATACTAAAACAAAAAAAAAATTATATCATTTTAAAAAATTTAACCGATAAGTTTTGTTGTTCATGACCCAAGCTTCAAAACTTATTGGCTGGTTTTTTCTTAAACTGAAAATTGGCAGAGCCTTAGCATTTTGAAAATTCCGAATTTTGTTATGCATTTAAGAAATTGAGGGTATACTTGTCGTCGGAATTCTCGAATTACGGCAAATTAGGCATTACGTATAAGCAGTAAATAAATTTCAGCATGAGACCCTAAAGTCGCAAAAGCCGTAAACCGTAATTTCGTAATGCCGTAATGCCATAATGCCGTAAATGTCATAATACCGTAAATAAATACCATAATAATAATACAAAATTTCTCTAAATAAAATATATAGATAAAAAAATCTTTACATTCTTTTAATTATTCAGCAGTACGTTTTATTAATTAATTAAATATAACATAATATATAGATAAGAATTCTAATAGTGGTAAGAATAATTTTTTATCAATTCCTCAAATGCAAGATAATTGTTAATGGTAACAATAATAATATAATATATTTTAATTAGTAAAGAAAAAAAAATGAGTTACATAAGTTCTGTTAGGTCAGTTATAGCAAGTAATAGTCAAGAAACAAAAGGGGTCGTGAAGAATCAATGGTTTGGAACCATTTTATTAAAGAATCAATAGGAAAATGGTCACTTCTCTGCTAAATGTCATTATTGCACAGAAGCTTGGCCTAGGGGAAATCTGAAATTTTAAAAGAGAATCTAGCTTTGCATTGTTGTGCAGTACCAACTGATGTAAAATTTTAATACATGAAAATACTGGCAGAGCAATCTTCGCCTCTTAATAAAATGTAAAGAGTAAATTCGTCTAATTCATCAATCACCAATTATTTTGATTCTTCTGCAGAAGTTGATGCAAATAAGAGGGAGAGAATCAATCAAGCATTAGGTAAACAGTTATATATAAGTGTATATTATATAATATAATTGTCAATTGACTTACTCATCTATTCATTTATTTTAAGTTCGATTTTTATATATTGTGGTATTCCATTTTCTACTGTAAGCCATCCTTTATTTGTGGATTTTGTAAAAAGTTTGTGTTTTGGATATAATCCTCCAAGAAAAACTACACTCTCAACTACTATTTTGAATAAAGAAATCTCATCGGTGTTGAATAAAATTAATGAGGAACTTAAAAATGAAGATAATTTAACATTAGGTATTAAGTTTGGGTAGACTATTAAATATTGTATTAGATTTATCTTGATATTTTTATTTTATTATTATAGCTATTGATGAATTTTTAATAGGGTTGTGTTGGTCTTTAAAAGACCGGTCCCTTTGAACCACGGTCCTAAATTTTAGGACCAGTCTTGGACCGGTCTTTATAAGACCAGCTGATCTTTCTTAATAAGGAAATTTTGAACAATAAAAATTTTTATGTATCTTTTTTTTAGAGTTTTTTATTTTATTCGTTATTATTATGTTTTATTGAAGGCCAAACTTTTGTTAAAAAATTAATTATTACATTGTTCACTTTTTTAGGCTAATACTAAGGAACTTTAATAATAGAAAATCAATGATAATAATTTAGTATGTATAATAAAAACCAATAGTTTATTTAATATAACTTAATGATATAACAGTAGTAGGTATTAATAATATTATTATTGGTAATTAAAGCAGAAATAGTAATAGAAAGAATAGCAGAAATAGGAGCAGTAGCAATAATAACAACAAAACAAAACGAAGACTTAGTTGAGGATTGGCTTTCTCCTCGGAGGAATTAAATCACAATTTCGAAGGGGAAGAAGAGTTTCTTAATGAAAATGAAACCATTTATGTTGAAGATTCAGTTTCTAATATATCTAGTAATTTAACATCATCGCCATCATCATCCACAACAACATCCACAACAACATCATCACCACATACAAATAATATTCAAAAGAGTACAGTTTGGGAGTTTTTTCGTGAAATTCATTGTTATTTGTTGCCAAAGATTTCTAGGTAGTAAGCAGGATAAATTTGTAAAATAAAATAATTGATGAGTGTAAAAAGTTAATTTGAACCTGGTCATAAAATGTAAGATAATCAAGATCGACCAAAAAGCTACTTTGCAATATGTGATTCACATCAAAATCCTTTAAACAATCTTTAACCAGTCCCAAATACCGACCTTTAACCAGTCCCAAATACCAGTCTTTAACCAGTCCCAAATACCGCATCTAAAGACCGGTCCTTCAGTCTTTCAAAAAAAGACCGGTCTTTTGGGACCGAGACCGGACCGGACTGGACCAACACAACCCTAATTTTGAAGCAATTTTTGTTAGAGTAATGAGTAAATTTTTTATTGGAGAATTAGAATGTTTATATGTATATTTAATTTTTACTTCAGTACCCAAACAATTTTTAGTGTTTGATAAAAATTTGTATATTGATATTATGATAGATATTAGTATAATGCTATTACTAATACACTATTAATTTTGTCTTTTACGGCATTACAGCATTACGGTTTACGTTATTTACAGCAAATAATACGGCACATGCCGTAACCATATTGTCTGGGAATTCCGACGACAAGTATAATTGAGACTAAGTAAATTTCGTGTAACAGCTTTTTTTCATAGAATATTTTCTACAACATACATTGATTTATTTGATTTATTTAATTCAACAAAAAAGTTTAACGAACATATTAAAAGAAAATCATTACCAAATTTGGTCGTGAGATTCAAAATATTGTAACACGAAAATTATTGTTGCACTTCTGAGCATAACTTTCAAATTTAAAAAATCTATGAAAAGAAAATTTGAGACAAATTTTTTTTTTAGATTAATAGACTCCTTTTTAAAGCTGAATTGAATGGTGGTGAGTTTTTTAAAATCCAATGTGTGGATCACATAATATTCAAAAATTTTAACTTTTGAGTATAGATGATCCGCTAATAACGCTATTTTTTTAAAAGGTAGGACAGAAAGTGACTTCTATACTTTTAAAATTTGCACAAAAAATTTAGGAGCCAACTATGTTCATAGTAACATATTATAATAAATTATTATTGGCTATAACGAATTCTCTTTATAACGAGCATTTTTTTCTGTTATAAAAAGAGTGAACTGTACAAATAAACATAGCACAATCGTGCTGTTCTTTGTAGTTTCAAATGTATTTCAGTAATTACACCATCATCAACTTTGAGTGCCATTAATGTTCAAGAGATGCAGATATTGTTGTAATTTGTGCTGACATATTACTTAATGATAATATATTTTCGTGTGCCTAACAATTTATAACGGTTCCTTGTTTTTTATTTTACCGCAGTTAATGTCATGGTAGCACGTGAATCAAATATATACAAAGATTTGGGATATTATTTTTTAGGTAACTGTTGATCAGCACAACCAAATAAAGAATTTTAATTAATTTTGAATTATTTTAATTATTAAAAAAGAAAATGGACAGAGCAGTTAAAGGAGCAACTAAATCTAAATGTGCAGCACCTAAACAAAAGTATCTTGAGGGTAAATTTCTTCATCTTTTGAACATTAATTATTTAAATTCGCTATAATCATATTATATATTGATATTTAAATACTCCTTCATATAGTTCTCATATCAGCAACTACAAGGGTTGATAACTTGGAAACAATATTCATTTCATTAGATCATCGTTTAAGAGAAAATTCCTGGACAGTATGTGTTTCAATATAATAGTACAATAAAATAAAAATTGTTAATTGTTAGTTGCTTAATTACTGATTGATTATTTTTTTTGAAAAAAGATTGTATTTAAAAGCCTTATTGTAATTCATATTTTAATGAGGAAAGGAGCTGGAGATCAAGTTTTAAATTATTTAGTTAGAAGACCAAGTATTTTAAATGTTTCAGGGTTTAGAGATAAGTCAGGAACAGGCAATGGTATAACAATTTATTAATTATTACTGGAAATTAATATTCTTCAAATTCAATTAATATCAATTAATATTGCAATA